TGTCAGGTTCTGACTTCTGCTCTAACCTTTAACCCTAAACCTAACTTTACAAACTAATTGGTTGATACGATTGTTGGTTGATACGATCTAGCAACACATCCTACTTGGAAAAATCCCAGTCACTATTCTGGTATATATTTTTGGATGGAATATGGACTACTGTTTTAAAGTTTGGGGTTGTTGTTTTTTTATTATTCTTTTTTAATACTTTAATACTTTCATTCACCAAGCTCACATTAAATTGACCAAAAGTGACAGTAAAGATATTTGTAATGTTACAAATTTTAATTAAATGCTGTTCTTTTAAACTTGTTTATCAAAGAGTCATATGTTTATATATATATATATATATATATATATATAAAAACAGTAATCTTTTGTAACATCAACTCCAAAACAACAACACAAAAATATAAAAAAATTTAAAAAGTGTTTTCAACACTGATAATAATAAGAAATGTTTCTTGACCAGCAAATCGGCATCAGAATCATTTGACACTGAAGACTGGAGTAGTGGCTGCTGAAAATTCAGCTTTGTATCACAGGAATAAATTACATTTTAAAATATATTCATATAGAAAGCAGTTATTTAAAATTGTAATAATATTTCACAGTATTACTGATTTTACTGTACTTTTTAATCCAATAAATGAGGCCTTGATGAGCATGACACTTGTTTCAAACACATAACTTACTGACCTCAAACTTTTGAATGGTAGTGTATATAGATAATTTTATATACTGTTGTGAATATGAAATAATATATTACACATTTCAGTGTTTGATTTTAAACACTTTTTCATTTTGTTCAGATTTTAGGATTGCAACTTGATGCCCAATGTAAAGTCTAAAGCAAGACCAGTTGAAAAGAATCTCTCTTCTACTGTAGATATATCAGCCAAGTATATTGACAAAGCTGGATTATAAAAATTAAATGTTCGTCTACAGGGCCACCACCAGAGGCCTCACGGTGGTGACGCATCACTTGTCTGACAGACTGTACCCACTCAGCAGGCTGGCCATCTGGCTAGTCTTTACAACAGAAATACAAATCATACCTAGCCACAGCTATTGCAGAGGTTACACATTAGCAAAAAAGAAAAAAAAAAGAAAGTTCTGAAGTAAACTCACTAGAGCGCTGCAGCTCCTAGCCATATGGGAACTTAAATGGATCCTAGAATTGTTCAGTCTATCTGCTGAACGCAGGTTCTGAACTACACAGAGACAGGCCTCATCCAACATAACGCAAGGGAATGTACTCGCTGCCGTGTTGACACAATGAGGGCACTATATGGACATTTAGGAGCATCAATTTTGTGTCTTTTCAAGGGGCCATGGGCCTTTTGTGTGTTAAAGAATATTTAACATCAGACGATGCATCTGCCAGTGACTGTGTTTTGTCAATATAAATTATAAGTGTTGTCATGTGTGGATTCACTGTTGTGTAAGCAGTATTAATTGTGCAGTGTAATTTGTTTGCTTTTAGTTTTTTTCCTCTTGATTTAAATCATCTCAGAATTTCTTTGATGGTTGACATGTCTACATATTCAGATTTTGAACAGTGAACAGTGGAAACTATTTAACCACTTTTTTTTTCTTTTCTTTTTTTTTACAGTGATTAAATGGAGAATAAATAGAGACTTAACTGCTTTCACAACCTATTTACTGTAATGTGATTGTATTTTTGAGTAAATATATATTTTTTTAAAATGTAAATATATTAATAAATTATACATTTTTATCTATCAGGAATTTATTGGATTGTAAAAAGTGGCTGTTCCGTACTAGAATGGAGCCAGAATGTGAGTTTGCAGTGAATTGTGAAGGACTTTGAAGATGGTTTTTAACCGAAGTTCACCCTCGAGAGAATCTTGTCGTATCCCAATGCACACACTTACTTTTCACATTCAAATATTACTGGATGTTTTTGCCATCACATTTTTACATTAAAGCTGCCATGAAATTGCTGCATTAACTGTTGGCAAGATTTCAGAAAGGCTGCATTACTTAAATACCTAAATTGCCGTTTGGCTGTTTTTAACATTTACTGATAGCCTGAACGGCCTAAGTCATGTCAGCCATAAAGGAAAGTTATTCCAGAGGCAAAACAAGTAGTTATTTTGTTTAAATATTAGGCTAAGAGATATTGTTTGGTTAACATGCATTGATGGATTATGCAAAGTTTGATTTTGTGTAGATATTTTAGCTGGAAGCAATGGTTTTAAGTTAAAAACATCTTAATGGTGGATTTGTTTATTACAAACAAGCAGCTTTTTGCTTCAACAAGCACTTTCTAAGGCATAAGCTGAAGTGTGCAATGAGTAAATAGAGGTAATACCACAGCTCCACTGTGAGAGCCATTAGTGGTGACATTACTGCCTGCTAGAGCGAAGCAGGATGGCCAAGCGGGTCCAGAGCTCTGGTGCTAGAGTATTGCAAAAATATATTTCAGAAGATCTGCCTGACCATTAATGTAACTGCCCTACTCCAAATAATACAATGTTATCTAAACCATCCAAACTGTTAAACCCCATCCAAAATGCAAAAAAAGAAAGATGGCATCATACATCAGAATTCCCTAATGTATAGGGCAGGGATCCTCAAATCTGGCCCACGAGATCCACTTTCCTGCAGAGTTTAGCTCTAACCCTAATCAAACACACCTGAGCATGCTAATCAATGTCTTCAGGATCATTAGAAAATCACAGGTAGGTGAGTTTGATCAGGGTTGGAGCTAAACTCTGCAGTGCATTAGCCCTCCAGGGCAAGATTTGAGGAACCCTGGTATAGGGTGACCATACAGGCCATTTTTACAGAACGCACCCTTGCCAGGATTTCTATATTGCCTAAAATATCCAGGTTTTGACTGTTTGCACTGTGCAGATCGATCGTTGTATGACATTATTTCACAAGAGCTATAGAGAGCAGAGCAGACGGCTCCTTACGCTTTCAAATCACTTTCGTGGTACTTTGGTGTCATACAATGATCGGTGCGCAGCCGAACGAACGAACGAACAAACACGTGTGCGTATTTGCATTGCTTTGATCGTTTTCACCTTCTCACGCGCGACGTGCCACGATTGGTCGATTATGTACAATACCTGCATGTTATTGGTCAAACTACTTTGGATGTTTTAGGCAATATAAAATAAAAATCCTGGCCAGGACGTGTCCCGTAGAAATGGTACATATGGCCACCCTACTAATGTAACATCTTCCTCAGCTCATTGGTGTTTAATAATTGCATGTAGCTTGTGTGTGAATACACAGATTGCATCAGCATGTATGCAATCTGTTTGTGGATGAATGTGCAATTATCCCCAGTGCATTGCATTTAGTTGTACAATAAGCAATCTTAGCTCTGCAATCAAACATTTATGTGCATGTGCATTCAGTTCTGTGCGGTTCATTTCCTTCTGCTTTATTTCTCATTCTGTGTAAATAAAAAAGCTGGGCTGGATGGAGACTTGAGCAGACAGACATTAGCCGTGTGGCACATGACCTGTACCGCTGTGATCTATGTCCACGTGGCCAGAATTGACCCCCAGTGGATTAAGAGATCCAAATTGGCTGTTTGATATATGGCCAGTCCTTGTTAACAGTGTTCCCTCCTGTCAATTCTCTCCATTGCTTTCAAGGTCAGCCGCCTTCTTCTGCCGGACAAATCAGAGAGCTTACTATTGTCAGTGATGCTCGCACATACATGCATGGACTTTCAAAAAAATTTGTTTTAAATATTTGATAATATGTGTTCTAACAAGACTTTCTCTAATTTATCCTACAGGAAATGTACTGTATATAGGAAATGTTTTGAAATTGATTCCTGTTCTGCCCTAATCATGGCCTTACATTAAAAGAAAGAAGGAAATTCAAACCAAATAGTTTTAGTTTTAGATTCTCCTATACCTTTATACTCTTATATCCATATGCATGCATTATACCAATTGTCCAGTTAGCCTGTGTGTTGTATTGTCCTGTTTTTTTGTTGTTGTTTTTTTGCTTTTAAATCTTAACCTATATCTGTAATCCTATTTTCTTTTCTCCTTTAGAGCTTGCAGAAAATGCATTTCATTGCTTGCAATTACTGATGCATGCTTAAATGTTGTGCATTTGACTGCAAGACCCTGAAACGGATCAATACCAGATTCCACATCTCAGACCAAGACTTGATGATTTATAAACTAAACTAAAGGAAATTATTGCAGCCTTCATTTCAAATGTGGCATGCTGAACAAGTTTTCGCCTTGTTATAATATAACCTTAAAAAAATCAGATCAGTTAAACCACATTTAGAAATAATCAGAAATGCACGCGCTCACATCATGTTTGTAGTGTAAACACTAATCAATCCTGATGCAACACAGAAGGGCCGTCTACTCACATGTCATTCAACAACTGAACAAAAAACATTTGGCGGGTTATTACTTTGAAAGAAAATCCAAAATATAGGCTTGAAAGAAAGTCCAAATATAAGCATGCATCAAATGTGTTTCTTAGACCTTAAATTAACATGGAGTAACACACGTTCAAAGTTTAATACTGGCGCTCAACTAAAATAACAAAAAGCTTTCCGCTGGAATTTTCATGTTTGCCACAAAATTACAATATATAGGTATAGTATAAATCAATATTATACACCTTTTTTCACTTTATTGAAATGCAGTGGCATATTGATATAGTAAGTGATATAGGTATTACAACGTGTAGGTATGGTATAAATCAATATATGCCTTTTTTAATCTTTTTTTGTACTTTATTGAAATGCAATGGTAAATTGATATAGTAAGTGATGTAGGTAGTCACAAAATCAGAATGACAAGTAATAACAGGTGATGCATGTACTGTAAATACTAGGTGTAAATGCCAATCTGTCTCTGACACCCTTTGATTGGTTCTCTCTAGATGTTTATAGCAGGTGTTCAGGTGTAAACGATGTGAAAGATATCAGGAGTTGTGAAGACGTAGTAGATGGGGAACTGTGAGCCAAGACCTAGACCAAGATGCCAAGGCCACAAGACTCCAACTCTAAGATGGTACTGATCCAGGTGAGTAATATAAAATCCTTAATGCTTCTTAAATTGTTTCTATTTTAGTCTAATGTGTTTCTCAAGTGTGATGACAATTAACCTCAGTGTGCTGCACCAAAGCTAATTAGAAGCTGTGAAGGTCAAAGTCTCCCCTACTTTATCTTAGCCTTTAGCTATGAAGTGTCACACTTTTGATGGTCACAGCAGCAGACATCTGTGACATGTAGAAAATAGATTGAAAGAGACAATCAGACTGGCAGTCTTTTGAACCTCCTCTTTCCTATAAACTCTATATATGACCCCATTAGGAGTGTCACGTCGCACTTCCTTTCACATTAAACCTTGATGTGTTGAACAATAGAGACCTCGACGGGAGAGCACTGCCTCGTCTATTCTTTCCTGCCTTTTTCATGGCATGTTTATTGTGACAGCCGTTTTTCTGCACGCAGAGTGCATGTTTCACCATGAATGTAGGGCCATCAGATCTTGTGTTGTTTGGGTGTGGGGCCGCACACACCTAAAAAAAAAAAGCCACAATTGCTCCTCCTGCGGTTGGCCTGAGTGCAAAGCTTCCTGAGTTGAAGAAGAAATCTATTGATGTCAGTTTTGTGAAGGTTTTACTACACAAAGCAGAGAAAGTAAATATTTTGGCTTGGTGTCACGTCCAGGACACAGTCGCTCTGAAATGAAAGAGGTCTTTGAAAGTCACAGAAGGGAATTGGGAAGAACGTGTTTTACGGTTTGACTCTGCTGATGCGTGGAGCTGAGCATTTTCTAGTTTCATAAAAAAAAAAAAACTAGAGTGTAACGATTGCCTCAGTTTATTCTTGCTTGGGAAATATGGCTTAAAACATTGTCACCTTGGTTCTTTGGTCCCTGGCCTACTCGTTTAGTATGAGAGACAATGAAGGCTCTGCAACTTAATGTTGATTCATTAATTCTCTAGATTATTGGTTACAATTTCGATGCTTCGGTTGGAATTGGTGAGTATGAAGACACTCTGTGTTTTGGGGTTCCAAACATTCCAAACTGAGCTTAGAATTCCTTTTAAATTCCAATTAATTATTGAATTTAATTTGAACTTGAATTTTGGCGGCAAACAGGATGTAGAAATGTAATTTGAATTTAAGGAAGTGGATTTAAGATGGATGGATAGACATTTATACAAATGGGTACAGACAGTTAAACTTAGATTAGAGAAGTATATACAAAAAAAAATATGTATCAGATCAGTGTAACTCCTGAAACCGATTTGATTCTGGTTTGTTTCCACATTTATTTGATCCGGTTGGTTGTTGCGTCTAACATAGCTTACAGTATTGTAAGTGATTCTAAGAAATTGCATCTAAATCTGACATTAGCCTTTGCACTGCAGTTATTTCTCTTGAACCGCATGGCAAAATAAGAAACACCTCTTGCTCTGAGCATTTTATGCAATCTTTCTCACAGATATCAAAGAGATTAACAATTATAAACAATTGCTGTGCTCGGAGGAAAGGATTTGACCTTTAGGAAACTGTGTGCGTGTATGTGTACGTGCGTGATGGTTTTTGTACGTGTCACATTTCATGCGCATCTACAAACGCTCATCCTTATTGTCAGTCATTGTTTTTTGTTCCTTGACCTGATTGAAAGACAGGTAACGTGAATCAGAGCTAATTATAAATTAGCATGTACACGCTGCAGGAAGTATAATAACGCCAACGCCTGTTACTATGTAATGGGTGTTTGTTGACATTGAATGCATTGACACAATCAAAAAGCAATGTACATGCTATCTCAAAGACCCCATATTGAAACCTGTATCCTCTAAAGGAGACCTCAACAGAGTCCTGAATGGGTGGCTTAGACAAAGAACAAGGAGGAGGAGAGTAGGGACACAAGTGGGCATGGTGGCAGACATCAAGGAGCCAATAGAAACCGATCTTGAATTCTCTGTAGACATTGGGGGCCAATAAGAGCTTCCCTGAACTCAGTTGAACACAGTTTGACAAGGCTGACCATATCACAGGCCTATAGAAGTTTCAACAGTTCTTTTTTTTTTTACAAGCAGACCTCCGTGTTTTTCCTCGGGATTATTCACATAACTAGAGACTTGCCTTGACCCAGACCAGTCCCTTAAAATGCTGCTCGCCATCACTCTGGAATAGAAGAGTACTTTGGACTATTTTATGCTGAGAATTTATAGAGTGTTCCAGAAAGGTAGGAGCGCTTCTGTGTGGAATGTGTGATTCTACGCTTGAATGCAGTAAAATGTCTTGCTTGACACAGTATAAAGGACCCGTTTTACCTCTAAAGTGATTCATTTCATTCTCACTTCTTTTTAAACCATACAGCACTTCAGTTGAAAGGAACGATATGCTCTGCCAACACGATCAAACTGTCAGATGGTCCAAATTCAAAGTGAACAGCCCAGTGATGCAATAATGGCTAAATCAAAATACATCTTTAATACAAAATTGTATCAATGACTAGGTATGGTAAGAGAGCTTGTATGAATTCGGTTAATTCTGCTGCATTTGAAGCTGTTTGACAATACCTGAAAAATACTATGCTCCATTCTGGAATGTTCGATTCTGATTGGTCAGTCTTCATGCAGTTAAATGTGTTTGTATAATTGTATCAGGTAACCAACCACTCCATGGATTCATTGTTGTCAGCTTCGAGGTTAGAAAGAAATTAATACTTTTGTTTAGCAGGGATGCATTAAATTGAGCAAAGGTGAGACATTTATAATGTTACAAAAGATATATAATTCAAATAAAGGCTGTTCTTTTGAACTTTCTTTTCATTAAAGAATCCTGGAAAAAATATAAACAAAAATATTAAGCAGCACAACGATTTCTGATAATGGTAAGAAATGTTTCTTGAGCATCAAATCAGCATATAAGACTGGAATAATGATGCTGAAAATTCAGCTTTGCATCACAGGAATAAATTCAGTTTTAATTTTTTTTTCAACTAGAAAACTATTATTTTACATTGTAATATTTCACAATATTACAGTTTTTACTGTATTTTTGATCAAATAAATGCAGCCTTGGTGAGCATAAGAGTCCTGATGCACAAAAGCTTTTTACAGAACCAAAACTTTTTAACAGTAGTGTATTAAAATGATTTCATGTCTGTTTATTCATTTGTTTGGTTGTTGCTGTGTAATATGGAAGAGAGCATACAGGCAGCCAGTCATTATCACAAAATAAACCTCTTTGGGGTGATGCAAGACCCTTTTTGCGTCGGAGTCCTGATCGCCTTGTCTGAATTAGTTTTGTGATAATGACTGCACATTGTTTTTTTAATGAGAAAGTTGTTCTTAAAAACGATCTAGCAGCTAATGGCAAGGCGCCCTGATGCCTCAAGATCACGCTGTCTGGGCTGGCAAAACAAATCCAAGAGCACATGTAGAGAGGCTTAAATGCCAATGGGGGAAATAACCTGATATTGGTATAAGGTGCCTCTCTCTGACATAAACCTCTGATCCTCCTGAAATAATGTTAGTCACATTTCCATTTTGGAGGGCATGTTCGCTTTAAAAGCCTCCTGCTGTGGCTTTACAAATACTCGATGCGCTCAGTTCGGCTGTGAGGCTTTAATATGTAAAAGCACCATGACTCTTTATGTACCATCTATGTTTCCTTTGAACACTTTTCTGCCACATGTATGCAAAATGATTTCTTGCAGCTGTTGGATATGATTCATGCTTATTGATGTGTGATGCTTTGAAGTTTTAGGTTTACCTTTAGATGACTAGTTGTGCAGAAAATCTTGTATTTCCTGGCCATGAATCGAGGCATTAGAGATGCTAGCATCACTATTACTATTGCTCATACTTAGTGATAGGGATCTGAACAAGCCCTTGGTATTAAATTTCAGCGTGTAACTCATCCCACACCGCTTGTGCTTCGGACATGAATGTTGCTTTAAATGATGCGGTTGAGGAGCTTTTCTGACTTTAGACATTTCTCACCTTCTGGATAAATGGACAAGAATATCCTATAGAATTACACTGAATGAGTGACATGGGCCATATCTAGAGACCAGAGTATTGTAAAGAGTCAGCAAACAAATAGCAACACACCAAAAGCAACTAAGAACACTCTAGCTTCATAGCTTCATTTGCACTAGCAAACTCTATTAATAAATATGAAAGTTGAACTGAAAGTTCATTAAAGTTGTGTTTAAAAAAAAAAAAATGTACATAGTTTACTGTTCAAAAGTTTGGGGCCAGAAAGACGTTTTTATTATTATTTGAAAGAAATAAATACTTTTATTCAGCAAGGATGTGTTAAATTGATCAAAAATGACAGTAAAGCATTTACAAAAGATGTTACAATAGATTTCTATTTCAAATAAATGGTGTTCTTTTGAAACAAATTTCACAGTTTCCACAAAAATATTACTGAAAACTCAACTGTTTTCAACACTGATAATAATAAGATATGTTTCCCAAGCACCAAATCAGCACATTAGAATGATTTCTTGTATGTTTTCTATTGTGAAGTTCTTCTGCAGTTTATATTAGGTGACATCATTCAAATATGCAGTCAACAATGGTTTTATAAGGAGCCTTGGAGATGTTGAGATTTTTATGTCAAAACATTTGACCTTTTTCTTTTTTTTCCCACTCCATTTTCCCTGTTTCTTTACAGAGAGAGCTTTGTAAGCACCTGGAGCTTATACATAACCTTTAAAACAGGCAAAAATAAACCAGCCTGCAATTTGAGTTAAATTTAGTTCACAAAAATAAAACTCTTATTCTTAAACATATTTTTTTCATCATCCTCATGTCAATCCAAACCTGTGCGACTTTCTGTCTTCCATGGAACACAAAAAAGACATTTTGTAGAACGTTAAGTTTGGTGCCTTCATTTCTATTGGTTTCTCCTACGCCTTCCCAAAGTCCATAACTGTGTTCTTCAAGGAAATTGAAGTGATCTTCCACGCCACCAGCAGTCAAGTGTCCTGGATCTCTTCCATCATGCTTGCTGTCATGTATGGAGGAGGTAAGCAGTGTCTTCCTGCATTTTCCTCTTTCTCCTCCCCTTAAAACTCTCAAGCTCTCTTTACATGTATTATAAAAAGTTCTTTCTGAATTCATACTAGATGTTTGCATTGATTCATAACCGGAGTTGTTTAATAGAATAATTCTGTCCTTGGGTAACTTTTAAATCAAGCTGTTTTTTCAACCATTCAAGCCAGTGGTGAGATCATGGCGCAGATAATGAAGATCCCGACGCAGTTTATCAATGGATGTGGTTCGAGTGAAAGGCCCTTATTCATTTGAATTGTAGAAACGAGAGGCATGCTAGACAAGGCTTAGACATCAGCCACCGGCTGCTTTGCTGAGAGATTGAGCTCTGAATGGGCAACTCTATCTCCCTCTGGAGTCTTTCTTCTTAGTCAGCTCTTTATTCTGCAAGTGTCAGATGTTTTCCTTGGAGAGAGATGAGGAGATGAGACGCATAACTCAGGAGTCGCACAGACTTGTGATGACTAGCGTCAATAGCAAACTTGTCTCTGGAAGTGGAGCACCACCGAATGATGTCAGCACACTCACACAGACAGACTAAATTGCACGTTCGCCTTCTCACGCTGCTGAGCAAATCAAACGCTAGTTAAAAAATATAAACCATTACGGATATAAAAAATAAAGGTTTGAATGTTTCTGACAGTATGGTGCTACTTTTTGGTTACAACGCAAAAGCCAATTAGTGTTCTATACTGTCACTATGGTTTGCTTGTGTGTTTATACATAACCTTTAAAACAGGCAAAAATAAACCAGCCTGCAATTTGAGTTAAATTTAGTTCACAAAAATAAAACTCTTACTCTTAAACATATTTTTTTCATCATCCTCATGTCAATCCAAACCTGTGCGACTTTCTGTCTTCCATGGAACACAAAAAAGACATTTTGTAGAACGTTAATACTCTTATTTTCCAAGAATACAGCGACTAGGGTTTGTTAAGCTCTAAAAAGGACAAAAAAGTTTCAGAATAGGTAGGGAGAAATGGTTAAAATAACACTTAAAGGGTTAGTTCACCCAAAAATGAAAATTCTGTCATTAATTACTCACCATCATGTCGATCCAAACCTGTAAGACCGTCTTCAGACCACAAATTAAGATATTTTGATGAAATCCGAGAACTTTCTGACCCTGCATAGACAGCAATGCAACTGACAAGCTCAAGGCCCAAAAAGGTAGTAAGGACATCTTTAAAATAATCCGTGTCATCAGTGGCTCACCCATCATTTTACGAAGCTACAAGAATAAATAAATTGTAGAATAAAGTCATTATTTTTGTTATTCTTGTAGCTTCATAAAATTACGGTTGAACCACTGATGTCACCCGGACTATTTTAACGATGTCCTTACTACATTTCTGGGCCTTGAACGTGGTAGTTGCGTGGCTGTCTATTCAGGGTCTTGAATTTCATCAAAAATATCGTAATTTGTGTTCCGAAGATAAACGAAGGTCTTACGGGTTTGGAAGGACATGAGGGTGAGTAAATGACAGAATTTTCATTTTTGGGTGAGCTATCCCTTTAATTACTTCATTGTCTTGTGTAATGTATAGTCAATGAAGTACATCAATATTGTAGACAATAACCCAAAATATCAACTGATAACTGATCAAATCAAAAAATGAACATTAGACAAAATGGGTGGGTATATGATGTGGCATTTATTTTTTGTCCTAAATATTGATTTATTCAAAAATATATTGTATATTTCTTGAATAGAAAATATAAAATGTATACATTTTATAAAATATAACATTGTATTTTTGTTAGTTCATGTTGTACAATGTGATTATTTTTTTCTTTCTTTCTTTTACTCGTGATGTATATGTCATTGACCCACATACTTCTGTCAAACTTGAGCTTTTGCCCTTACATTTGTCATGAACAAGAACAAGGCGCTCAATCAGTTTCTGAAAGATAGACCTTTCAGTTTATGCCGGCCGGTGTATACATTTTATAAAATATAACATTGTATTTTTGTTAGTTCATGTTGTACAATGTGATTATTTTTTCTTTCTTTCTTTTACTCGTGATGTATATGTCATTGACCCACATACTTCTGTCAAACTTGAGCTTTTGCCCTTACATTTGTCATGAACAAGAACAAGGCGCTCAATCAGTTTCTGAAAGATAGACCTTTCAGTTTATGCCGGTGGTGTTGACATTATGGCCATGAGAACTCATGGCATGTGAGAGGCACATGACTTTACATTTGACCTCGTACTCCTACATGCCCCTTCTGGCCCAGCAGAGCTAATTCCCTACTGTAATGCAGGGGGCAATACATAGCACATGACCCAGATGATCACAGAACCAACCACGCGTGGAAAAAAATCCAGCAATTTGTTCTGACGACAATGATAAACAGAATTGCATTATGTAGTGCTACTGGTTTGTACTAACATATTTGCAGGCAAGACATAATTGTGTGAATATTTTATGCTGACTTATGCACATCAGACATCTGTGTAGCAATATATTCCATATTCATAATAATTCACAATATGCTCACAAGTAAATCAGAATGCCATTGTTTTAGCATCTAGTTTGATGCTGGCCATGACTGACATGTGTTGTGGTTCCCCTTTTGCTCTCATTTCCCTGAATACAGCCACTGTCTCACCAACAGTTTACAGAGAAGTCTGAATGCCCTCTAAGCTAAATACTGTCAGAAGGTGTTCGTTTCTTTTCCAGGGATGTGTTGTTTTGGCATTCTAGGCCAAGACATCTTCCTACATAGACCTCCATTGCATTTAAGCTTGTTGTCGGTGACCCAGGGAACCCAGAGGTAGTTTGCCTGGAGCAAGAGAGGTCCAGATATGAGGATATTTACATGAATGTGGACTGATCTGATATGTCAGGAGTGAGTTTTTGTTTAATGTCACCCAAGGGCTTAGTCTAATCCATATTTATCTGGTATTCAAGCTGATTTGTAAGGAGTGTTTATTTACATGTATCTATGGCTGATGATTTAGACCAAACATATTAGCATTGTAATTTTACAGTTGTAATGTAAAATAAATTATCATGTTATTATATTCTTTTTCTTAAATACTCGAATTTTTATTTTTACAGTGAAATATTACAGAAGTAAAATGTCTTGTTTTTATTTAGTAATGTTTATATTTGTATTAATAATAATTAATAATATTTAATTATTATTTTATTTTAAAAATTATTTATGTATAATCACAACATTTTGCCCAAATTGTGCAGCCCTACAAATAGCAAATCCGGATTTTATTTATAATCTGAAAAATCACTGATTTTTTTTTCCCCCCCTAAAATGTATCTACTTCACCATTTTATTATAGAGCCTGAAAACTCAAATCTGATTAAAGTACTGGTATTAGTAGTTGTTGTGACGTAAACTAGGGCTTGTACGTGATACTAATGAATTTCCGCATTTCTAAATGTGTTAATATGTTCTTTCGTACATGTTCGCAGTGACTCGCTTCCCCGCTGTATGAGGTGGATTAGAGAGGCAAACAAGGCAGCCTATTGTACTGAGAGGCTGAAGACGTGCAGGCGCTCGCCAGCGCTCCCCGGTTTTCACACGATTAGCAGGCTTCCTTCCTACATTCATGATAGGATTTAGACTCAGTACATGGAAGCCTTAAAAACACGCATGTAACTGGAAATACCTTTGGGATCCTTTTGTTTGCTACTGTAGGGCGGTATCACAACATATTAGTTTAGTTTGTTAGGACTAAAGTTTCTAAACGAAACGTATCTAAAATATGATTTAGTAGAGCACTTTAAGATTGGTCTTTCAGCCTCTGCGTTTCACAGGTAACATCTTTTGCTCAGTTAGCTGGATGATGGTGGGAAACAGCAAAATCTGCAGTTTGATGATTACTGCAGTAATATGCAATGTCAAATTCTATTGTTCTTCCCCACAGAGCTGCAATGCCCTCTAGTGGTCTGAACAGAGACTATTACCTTATGTCATGAAAAAACAAAACTGACCCTGCTTATTATTTTAGTATATATTCCTGGTGTTATTGTGAACAGTTCATGTGTGCATGTTATTTCAGATAGACTTTGTCTTCATAATCTTTTATCATAATGTAATAACATGCTCCCCCTCTGAAACTGTTATTGTGATAGGCCAGACCATCTTTTTTCAACCCCACTGTTTTCAATCCCATCAATTCCCAATGGATAAAATCAAGTCCTGTATTAAACTTCCTGATAACTTGGAATTGGGTGTTGCTTGAACCATTGTTCTCTTTTACTATTACCTTGATTTTTCTTCAGACGCCATATATCTTGTACTTAATCTCAAGCATGCTTTTCAACAACACTGTTATCTCCTTGGTAAACAAGTACACTAACTCATAATTGAAAAAAAAAAAAAAAATTATATATATACAGTATATATAGAATTCGTTTTCACATTGAAGTATCACACTTTTTTAAAAGTAATATATTTTTATGATAGATTTTCATATTTTAAGATTTAAAATCTGCGTTTGTTCAAGAAATTGCATTTAAAATGCTTTTAAAACTGAAAAGAAATCTCTTTTTGGCTTCAGATTACAGAAATAAATACATTTTCCTCTGCTTTGTGCAAATTCTGACTTTTTTTTTTTTTTTTTTTTGCATCTCATTTCCAGGTCCTGTCAGCAGTATCCTGGTCAATAAGTATGGAAGTCGGCCTATTATGATTTTAGGAGGCTGCCTCTCAGGAGCAGGGCTCATCGCTGCCTCTTTTTGCAATACTGTCGAAGGCTTGTACTTCTGTGTCGGTGTAGTGGGAGGTATAATTAAAAACAAATAAAAAAATTTCAACATACACCATTGCTCTTATCCCATGCACTTTACAGTAATAGCACTCCTAGTGATGTTACACTCTTGTGACAGATTTTAATATCACCCAGGGGACCTGTTTTCATTTCGAACTTTGTGTTATGATGTTTTCCAGGTCTGGGACTGGCATTCAATCTCAACCCAGCTCTCACAATGATTGGCAAATATTTCTACAAGAAACGCCCAATAGCTAATGGTATCGCTATGGCTGGTAGCCCAGTCTTTTTGTCTACTCTGGCTCCCCTGAACACCTGGTTCTTCGACCAATTCGGCTGGAAAGGGAGCTTCTTGATCCTGGGTGGACTTCTGCTGAATTGTTGTGTAGCTGGATCACTGATGAGGCCCATTGGGCCAAAACCCCAACCCGCTGTTAAAGCTGCTAACAGTAATAGCGAAGCCAGAGAGCAAAAGAGCGTGATGGCGATCATCAATGGTTTTATCGATCTGACGCTCTTCAAGCATCGTGGCTTCTTGCTGTACCTTCTGGGTAATGTGGTCATGTTCTTCGGCCTCTTCTCTCCTCTTGTGTTCCTCAGTAATTACGCCAAGAGTAAGGAAATTCCCAAGGAGAAGGCGGCTTTTCTGCTCTCTGTCCTGGCCTTTGTAGATATGGTTGCACGACCTTCAATGGGAATAGTTGCCAGCACGAAATGGGTCAGGCCAAGGGTGCAATACTTCTTCGCCGCATCCATTCTCCTTAACGGTGTGTGCCACCTGCTTGCCCCTCTGTCCACAGACTACACAGGGTTCGTGATTTACGCCATCTTCTTTGGGTTTGCCTTCGGCTGGCTGAGCTCTGTGCTGTTTGAGACCCTCATGGATCTTGTGGGATCTCAACGTTTCTCCAGTGCTGTGGGACTGGTGACGATTGTAGAATGTGTGCCAGTGTTACTGGGGCCTCCTTTACTAGGTGAGTAGTTTTAAATAGCATACCAAATAACAAAAGGTATTCGTCTGAAACTAGTGAAGGCAATATGTAGTTAAATGACCAGTCACATGATTTAAAATTAACTTTCCTTCATACATTCAGATACATTTTAATCTAAAAAAAAAAAAAACTCTGTGAAAACGCGTTAACCATGCAGTCCCAGAAGAAAACACTTCTGCATGCCTTTGCAAAATTAAGATGCATAATGAGGAATAGATTAGGGCATTGTGCATTATTATCTTGCAAAACTTTTGTGAGTTAAAGCAAAAGCATGACCTACATTTGAATCACTTTTTGTTGAAAATGCATTAATGGTTTCCACTTGGATCACTGATTTTTTATATATACTGTATATATATATATATATATAATAATAATTGTCTGCACTCACAGGAAAGTTCAATGACATCTACCATGACTACAAATATACATACATGGGCTGTGGAATTGTCCTGCTGGTTGGCAGTTTGTTTCTTTTCATCGGAATGGGCATCAACTACAGGCTACTGGATAAAGAAGCAAAAGAAGAATCCAAGAGAGCCAATCTGCAGGAGGAGCCTGGCAAAGAGGTTGTAGAAGCACTGAAAATACCTGATGACAATACTGCAGAGGATACTGTGTGACAATAGCTGATCCTGGTTTTATTCTGGGTGATTCTTACATTTCTGCACTCTCTACATCAAGGATTTGATTACAGACATCCATCTTGGACTATTTAGGTTACTGAGGCAGTGATGCAAACATTTCAGTGCCTTGCATGAGCACATGGTCATGCAATTGATATTTTTATTTTTAGAATTTAACTTTAGTATAAAACGTATGCATTTACTTTAGGACAAGACCTGTGGCTATTATTTTGGGGCATTTTATGTACGCTGAGAGTGAGAGAGAGATTAAATCAGTGAATATATGAAGAATTAATCTGCAAGAAACAAATGTTGCCTTCTAACAAAAAAGAGACGAGTAATGTGAAAGCGGTAGATATGCAAATACTGTCTCTTGTTAAATATATGCACAAATTAAACACATAATTTGGTAAATATTTTCCAAGTTAAAACGGTTAATGCATTGTTTTGTCAGTATACATGGACAGCGTCAGCGTTATTTTGTGTATTCTTGTGTGTCTATGTGTGTAGTCTAGCAATTTAGTGATAAAAGATTATTTACTTGTTTGAAACTGTGTAAACACAAAAGCAATTTGTGTATAGCATAATGGGAAATTGTTTGTTAAATGCCAAATAAGTTAATATCAGAGTTGGTTTAAATGTTTGTGATTTTCTGTTGCAAAATGGTTCAAATAAAAATGATTCTCATTTTAATAAAAATTTCACAAAGCTTCACACCTCCTTTCAAGTGTTGGGGGTTAACCCTGGTGTTCTTTTGAGAATGACTATGATGTAAGTAGGCCTACCTCTGACTTCTTTTGCAAAATGTTCATCTGACCTCTAACCCATTTGATATTATTGAAGCTTTAACCCTTAGTTGGATGCACCTTTCATAAATGTGACAGGTATGTTAAACAATGCTTTAGGAAATAACTGAATAAAAGACATAAACAACTGACAGGGAGTGTATGTTTACACCAGTCTGAAAATATCATCGTGAAAATTCAACGCCTTTCAGTGTTGCCAACTAATTTTCAGGGGAAGTTGCTAAAGGAAGGTTGATTTGTTGCTAAAAGTTGCTAAATGACGTTGTGATGTCATTGCGCGATGACGTCATTACGTAATCACAACGCAAAATTGTGTCACTACATCAAATCTCAGCAAAAATATATTTTATATGTTAATTTATATTTGCTCGTAAAATAATATAAATGCATATTATAATGTTAAACTATAAATAACTATTTTTATATACAACATTGAACACTTTTGAACGATTTAATTTTTGAACGATTACAAGTTTTTTTATTAGCTAGTAAACTAGTAAAACTACACATTCTGAACAATTATAGTTTTAAGCAGTGTATTAGTAGTCAGTATGCTACACTCTAAGAAAATAAATCACAGGTTTTTACCTGCATTTTAAATTACGCATTGTATTGTGTGTTTCGGGTTAAAGGGTTACAATGGATAATGGATAACGGATAATGTCCTGGAAAATTACTAGTACCTTTGCCATTTTTCTAGATATGTTTCTTACATTGTACTAACTGATCAACAATCACATGTACACGCTACTAACAAGGTGTATCATAAATGAACAATTATTAAATTATTATTGTTATTATCAAATTGAACAACTGCAAATAGCAATAACTTAATTCATGTGATGTCTGTACTTCTATATCTTTGGTTTCCTCTTTTTGTGAAATTTAGATGGAAAATGTGTGCCTTTTTATTGTTTGAGTCACTTATCAAAAGTTGCTAATAGTAGCCAAATAAAATTTAAAAATAGCTAAATTTGTTGCTAGGTGCTTTTGGAAGAAAAAGTTGCTAGGGTAGTCTGAAAAGTTGCTAAATTTAGCAACAAAATTGCTAAGTTGGCAACACTGACGCCTTTGTTGCACTGGGTCTCTGCGGCGCCGAATTAAAATAATGTAGCCTACTTTTGAAACATGCTATAAATGTTAATGCTTGTCTTATAATTAGCATTCTTTATATATAGTAAAAAAAAAAAAAAAGTAAATAAATATTACATTTCGCGAGTCCCGAGTGACATGGGGTTAATAGCCGTTATTTAAGTTGCTACTGCTGTTGCTAAATTGAATCCGCCGCGCAAACCATTTAAAATCTGAGTCTCGTGAGTCAAACTGACATCAGGTAAAAACCGTTGGTCAACGGAGTCGTAATAATTATAAATATATTCAGAAAGTGCTAGAGTGATTTGCTTAAAGGTAATGAAATGTTTCCAAAATTAAGTTTAATTACATATACGTAGTTTATAAAAGAGGGAAAGTAACGGGAATCAAATCATTTGTGAGGAATATTTACTAAAATTACATTTGTTCAACTGCCTCAACTTTCGACTTCTCAGCTAACGTTAGCTAGTGTCTCAAAAGGGAAAAACTCAACAATAAAACTATTCGGTATATAGTTCTGAGGATTTTTGAAGTAATATATTTCGTTTGACTCCACAGCATGCAAAAACCATTCAACTTCAAACTGCTGGTGCCCCCAAGAGCTCATTTGAGTCAAGTTTCTGCAGTGAAGCCTCAGGAAACAGGCTTGTTTGAAGAAAACTCTCTTTTTTCTCCTTCAAACCAGGTTGGCAAACTTGTAAATTCGCTGTTGGTGCTATAATGTTGCTATTTGACCTCTGGCTGCTAAACTGCTGTGTGAACATTTAAATGTAACTTAGGATGATACGTGCATTTTGTTTGTAGAGTTATAACAAGTGTTCAGATATGGAGACCAGTCTGCCATTTCCATCCAAAATGGTGCTTCCTACGAAGACATCAAGAACTGGTAACATTTATAATCTAAATGGAAAGGTGTACTGTAATGAATAGGTTTTAATGAAGTAAGTCCATTAATCCTGATACTTTGTTCTTAAAGAGGGCATGAAGAAGGCTGCAGTCATGCCGATGGAAAAGGAGGAGGTCAGGTTAAATGCTTATTTCATTTTGTGTTGTAGTTACTGCTTAAATTATTATTCATTTATTTTTTTATAATCTATAATGGTTTAAGGTCCACATTATGAATTCAGTGAAATGCATAATGTCAGTAACTCTAAGCAGTTTAATAGCTGTTTTGCTTTTGCATTACAGACATCAGTAAGATCCAGCCAGCTGTACTCCAGATTGCTTGATGAAGCTGAGAAAATCAAACTCTGGAAGTTCAAAATAGATTCTGAGATTTCACAAAAAGACAGTATTATTGTTATTATCAAATTGAACAACTGCAAATAGCAATAACTTAATTCACGTGATGTTGTGTACTGCTAGGCATCTTTGGTTGCCTCTTTTTGTGTAATTTTGTTGGAAAATGTGTGCCTTTTTATTGTTTGAGTCACTTATCAAAAGTTGCTAATAGTAGCCAAATAAAATTTAAAAATAGCTAAATTTGTTGCTAGGTGCTTTTGGAAGAAAAAGTTGCTAGGGTAGTCTGAAAAGTTGCTAAATTTAGCAACAAAATTGCTAAGTTGGCAACACTGACGCCTTTGTTGCACTGGGTCTCTGCGGCGCCGAATTAAAATAATGTAGCCTACTTTTGAAACATGCTATAAATGTTAATGCTTGTCTTATAATTAGCATTCTTTATATATAGTAAAAAAAAAAAAAAAGTAAATAAATATTACATTTCGCGAGTCCCGAGTGACATGGGGTTAATAGCCGTTATTTAAGTTGCTACTGCTGTTGCTAAATTGAATCCGCCGCGCAAACCATTTAAAATCTGAGTCTCGTGAGTCAAACTGACATCAGGTAAAAACCGTTGGTCAACGGAGTCGTAATAATTATAAATATATTCAGAAAGTGCTAGAGTGATTTGCTTAAAGGTAATGAAATGTTTCCAAAATTAAGTTTAATTACATATACGTAGTTTATAAAAGAGGGAAAGTAACGGGAATCAAATCATTTGTGAGGAATATTTACTAAAATTACATTTGTTCAACTGCCTCAACTTTCGACTTCTCAGCTAACGTTAGCTAGTGTCTCAAAAGGGAAAAACTCAACAATAAAACTATTCGGTATATAGTTCTGAGGATTTTTGAAGTAATATATTTCGTTTGACTCCACAGCATGCAAAAACCATTCAACTTCAAACTGCTGGTGCCCCCAAGAGCTCATTTGAGTCAAGTTTCTGCAGTGAAGCCTCAGGAAACAGGCTTGTTTGAAGAAAACTCTCTTTTTTCTCCTTCAAACCAGGTTGGCAAACTTGTAAATTCGCTGTTGGTGCTATAATGTTGCTATTTGACCTCTGGCTGCTAAACTGCTGTGTGAACATTTAAATGTAACTTAGGATGATACGTGCATTTTGTTTGTAGAGTTATAACAAGTGTTCAGATATGGAGACCAGTCTGCCATTTCCATCCAAAATGGTGCTTCCTACGAAGACATCAAGAACTGGTAACATTTATAATCTAAATGGAAAGGTGTACTGTAATGAATAGGTTTTAATGAAGTAAGTCCATTAATCCTGATACTTTGTTCTTAAAGAGGGCATGAAGAAGGCTGCAGTCATGCCGATGGAAAAGGAGGAGGTCAGGTTAAATGCTTATTTCATTTTGTGTTGTAGTTACTGCTTAAATTATTATTCATTTATTTTTTTATAATCTATAATGGTTTAAGGTCCACATTATGAATTCAGTGAAATGCATAATGTCAGTAACTCTAAGCAGTTTAATAGCTGTTTTGCTTTTGCATTACAGACATCAGTAAGATCCAGCCAGCTGTACTCCAGATTGCTTGATGAAGCTGAGAAAATCAAACTCTGGAAGTTCAAAATAGATTCTGAGATTTCACAAAAAGACAGGAAGCTCCAGGAGAACAGAAAAACCATTGAGACGCAGCGCAAAGCTATTCAAGAGCTTCAGGTAAATCAGATTTGCAGGTAGTAGATTTATTTTCAGGTAGTAGATTTATTTTCATTCTTTTTTTGTCTGCTTCACTAAAGTCAGAAAGAATTATGACTTATGTCTTTTGCAGTTTGCAAATGAAGGTCTGAGCATGAAATTAGAGGATCAACTGAATGAGAATGAAGATCTTAGAAATACGTATGTAAATCATGGGTAATTTTTATATAAGCACATATATTATATTATAATTTATTATATTATTTATTATGCAGAAGCAATGCAACCAGAAATTTGTGTAACATTCTAAAGGACACATTTGAGAGATCTGCTGAGAAAATGAATCTGTGTAAGTGTGAGAGCATATTATAATATAATATGTAATATACTGTAGCTTAACACTAAATATGTTAAACCACTGACAGTTATTAGAGGACAATAATGTGTTTTTTATTTTGACTGAATAGTTGAGGCTGAACGGGAAGAAACTCATGATCTGTTCTTACAGAACAATGAGAATATTCAGGTAACTACTTTAATTATTTATTTATTTATTTAAGATGGATGCAGAGTTGACAATAGGCCGAACCCTAGATTAGGACAATCCTGTTCATGACATTGTAATTTGTTCATTTGCAGAGGATGGTGGCAGCATTTGAAGCTCTTCGGAAGCAAGCAGAAGCTGATCAGCAGGATATGTTGAAATGTGCTAATTTTTTTTATTAATTGTTCTAATAATTTTTAACTAATTAAGT